TTAAGAGACAGTCCATGACAGGATCGAGTATTCACGTCATACGATAATTTTTCACATATCCTTCTGATGATTGCAAATGAAAGAGCATGTAAAAAAACCTATAATTCTAAAATTTTACGATTTTCTGACTCACGGCTGAGCGGTTATCAGAGGATCTTTGGAGATCGCTTGATAAAATTTTAGATTTTTGTTTATTTTTAGTATTTGATTTTTCTTCTATTAAACCTTAATCAAATCAAATTGAATTATTCCTCAAAAGATAGAGTAAGTTTCCCTCTACAAAACTATGTACTTAGATTTTACATAAATAGTTTTTTACTAGGTCTGTAAAGATTTAATACTCAAAAACCTACCCAAAAACCTGCTTAATTTTTTGCTATTTTTTACTATTTTCAAGGAACAAAGTACCAAAAATTATTTGGGCCGAAAATAATTTCTTGTGCATTTGATAGAGTGAAAAAAACTGCACAAGCTGAGCCTAAAAGAATATCCAAAGAGAATGCGCATAGTAGTTTTATTTAGCTCACAAGAAAACTAATGGTAGCCAAAAATCATACTTTATTAAAATTTTTTTCAAAATTTTTTCAATCAAATGAAATGTAATTATGATTTTTGTGATCTCCGTAAAAAACTGCATCAACCCATATATAAATCAAGATATTTCAATCCATAAAAAGCTTTGGAAATTTGTTAGCTGGGGTACCCCCGGGTTTTTTTTCATGAAAGTTTTTTTCATGAAAAACACATATCTATAGATCCAGTTTTCATTGCAGATGAAGAATTTGTTGACGAGAGGACATGATAATGGTTTTATAGATACGATATTGTCAGTGCTGGGCCGGCGCTCTAGATTGTGGTGTGACATCATGTTATGATGTCCGTGAGTGCTCCATACTCAGAAATTTGAGAGCGGCCGAAGAAACTTTTTAAAAGTTTTTGACAGCTTTGAAAAACACTTAAGAAGGGCTACCGATTCTTCCGTAAACTTCCACCAATTTTTTGATGATTTCGAAAAAATTTCTAAAAATTTCTACCAAAAAACGAACGAATTTCTGGACATTAAACGCCGCCACTTACTTTCTATCCTTCGCTTAAGATACATTTGCTAATATCTGATATTATTACAAAAGAATAACACGTTTTTAGTGTCTTTTGATCAAACAAATAAATATATAGACGTGAATATTACTAATAATCTTTTCAGGTATGACACTGGGCACCAATTGCCTTTGGGT